ATACGCGACAACGTATGCAATGTGTATAGAAGAAACTTGAACACATGTAAGTAAAGCATAACGCGACAATGCATGCAATGTGTATAGAAGAAACTTGAAAGGGGCAGATTCAATTTTGAAGCCTGGTAAAGACATGTTATTCATGGAATTTGAAATGCCAAGCACTGCAACATAGTATAATTGAAGCGATTTGTGGAATTCACAAGATACAAAAAGGATACAGGAAGGAACGTTCTTCGCGCGCACCGAGCATCGCTCATAGAAGACACGGCTTGAGGTCAACTCGAAGGCCTACTAATGTTTCGAAAGTGCACTTCCTTGCACTGCCTTGAGAAGTGAAGATTCCAAACCACATAACTGACCCAACCAAGGGTGTGTGAGGTTCACCGACCACAAAGGCAGGACACCGGCCATCCATCGGCCACAAAAGGAGCTCATCGGCCAACTATTTAGCTGATCGGCTAACAATTTGGCCGACCGGATAAAAATGGCAAAGTCAGGGCAGTTTCGACATTTAGCCATGGGTCTTTAAATATAGGACCTCAAACCCTATATTTTCACTTCCTCCAAGCTCGAAAAACCCTCGCCTCTCTCTCTAGGTGATTTTCTAACCTTCAATCCTCGTTTTTCCCGTGCTTTCGACACTTTTTTGTCGTTCGATTCGCGAAATCTTCACCGTTTCGCATATTTTGAACTGAACAAATCTTGGTTTCGGTGTTTTTTTCTTGGCTTCCACCATTTGGGGTTTGTTTTCCCCGAGTCATACCTTGATCTTCGTGCCTTTTCCACACCCCGACCTTTCCTCCAATTTTTCAACCTCTCGGGATTGACTTTTGGGTTGACTTTTGGCATTCTCGCCTATTTTCCACATTCTCGTCCATTTTTGCACTCTTTCTGAGATGGTAGACGACATACCACAGGGTGGGGCTCCTCTGGAGATGGACATGGATCTCGAGGTCGAGCTCTTACCTCTTTACATCCGGCCGTTCGATCCAGCGACTTACAGGCTGGCGATACATGCGTTGCCTCCCGACGGCATCCACCACTTCCGGAGCTATTCACGAGGCGCGCCACTAGAGCTTCTACTGGGCGAGCCAGAGTCACATCTGTCCTTCGGCGCTTCTGAGGTACACCCTTCTCTGTTTCATTTTCTACAATGTAGAACATCTGACTACGATAGTCGATTCTGTTCTTTAACTGCTTAACCCAGATACACTGATATGTCATATGTTGTAGTTCATCGTGAGCACACCCGCACCCAATATCTGTGTAGACTCAAACACATGCACACACACTGTATTTTCAACTGAATAACCCGAACATACAGATACATCATATGCTGTAGTTCACTGTGAGCACACCTGCACCCAATATCTGTGCAATCTTGAACTTATGCACACACACTACATATTCAACCGAATGCATTCAAAAACTGTATTTCTAACATTGCTTCGCAACTGCTAGTTTTGGACACAGGGAGATTCCCACGCCTTCCAGGGGTATGGGAACACCGTTGCCCGTGGTTGGTACATGGAGCTGCCCGATGCGGTCTGCCACATCGCCAACCAGGCCAGCTTCGAGACTTTCTACATGGGACTCTCGTGCCTCACTACGAGTAGGCCCCTTCTTGTTGCTTTGGTGGAGAGGTGGTGGGATACCACTGATTCCTTCCACCTTTCTGCTACAGGGGAGATGACGATGACTCCCTTTGACTTCTCGATGCTCACCGGCATCGGGGCAGGGGGTGATCCGATCCCCTTCGATACTGATATGGATGAGTGGGACGCCACCCAGATGTACATGCTCAGCGATCGGCCTCCTCTCTCCTAGCCAGGATTTGTGAGGTACTCTTGGTTCGAGGACCACTTCAGGATTCAGGTGCCCATGACTCGCGAGGAGGAGGAGCAGTACGCTCGCGACTTCATCATGTTCCTGCTGGGGACCATACTCTTCGCCGACCGGGCGAACACTGTCGCCCTTAACTTGCTGAGCGCACTGGTGGATGTGACCAAGATTTGCCGCTATGACTGGGGTGGCGCAGGCCTGGCCACACTTTATGGATATATGAGTTCATCTTCCCACCGCAGCGGACACTGGCTCGGAGGCTATTTGCGAGCCTTGGAGGTACATTTTCCCTTTCTGTCATTTCAATTCTACTTTACATTATCTGTACACCACACACACTGCGCGCACGCAATTTGCTTTACACTGGCTGTACACTGCACATACGCAATATGTTTTACACTACACACTGTTCTCTGATTTCTGCTGTATTCCGCATTCTGCTTTATCTGATAAGCATACTGATATTTTCCATATTACACTCTACAGTTGTGGGTGTATGCCTATTTTCCTAGGCTTGCCCTAGTGCCGGATGAGGAGATCCCCCTCGACGTTCCATTCTCTCACCGCTTCAATGTGAGGTGCAAGCGGAGGCCACGAGAGTCTTTCCAGTTCTTCCGCCGATACGTCGACACCATCACCGCCGCAGAGGTATGTGAAACTTTACAGTTTATTTAAGCTTCGCTTTACATTGTACTTTCAACAGTAGATAACACACTGTATATCATTTGCAAATCACTTGATAGCCCTAGGCTCCGTTGCCTGACGCAGCAAGGGAGCAGTATGTGGGTGCTCGGGAGACTGTCCGGTTCAGGGTTCTGCTGGAGGGTCCAGTCTGTCGAGCTTAGTACTTGGGTGAGCGCTTCCTGCGCCAGACCCTTGGCTTAGCGGAGCAGATAGTTTCGGGGCCACCTCCTTCCCATATGAGGCATACCAAGAAGTACACTTTTGAGGAGATAATAGACTACACGATTGGTTGGGACTCAGAGCCCTTCAGAGATGAAGGCGACTACGCTGAGTTTATCCAGACTTATCTGATGCGGCCTCTGACCGATGCCCGCCGAGTCGAGAGAGAGAGGACTACAGCGCCCGCAGCAGGAGCAAGAGCATTGAGGGCGGCTCAGGCCCGTAGCAGGAGTGGGTCTTGGAGAGGATAGGGAGTCGGGTGGCCAGAGCTGCCCACCACCATGACATGCCGAGGGCAGGGTGGAGAGATGTACCAGATACCCATCGCTCCTCCTCCGGCTGATCATGAGCTTGTTGGAGTTAGCGGCTCGACCCCGATATGTACTACTATACTTTGTATTTTGTACAGTCATTTCATTTCATTTGATATCCCGCAGAATACTAATGATTTCAACACATTTGCAGGCTTCCATCGAGTATACTAGACAGTCTTTGGAGCTGACGACCTCAGTGATGGGGATGCTACAGCGGAGCATAGACTTGCTCACCATCTATAGGATCCCTGTGAGTTCTCTCAACCTCAGTTTCAAAACCCTGCACATCTGTTCATACTGATCTGATACATCACATTATCAATACGGCGCTTGATACACTGTAATCATACACTGCTCACAGCATTGCTCACGGCATTCATACACTGTATTCATACATTGCTCATAGCATTGCTCATGGCATTCATACACTGTACACATACACTGCATTCGGTATTCATACTCCGCTTTGCATAGCATAACTGATGCATTTGCTCACTGTTCTTTTCAGGTCCCATTCCAGATTCCGGCCGCGGGAGGTGCTTCAGCAGGGCCTTTTGTACCTACTCGAAGAGGAGGGGGAGTCAGGCGGGGGGTGACGATCCACAGCCGAGGCAGGCACAGGCGCACCTGTGCTGAGAGTTGTTCACAAGAGCCCTCCCCGATGATTTTGACAAGGAGGCAGCGTCGTCTGAGGGTGAGACCAGGGATGGCTCAGATTCGGACTACAGAGCTAGCAGTGGTGATCCTGGACCCTCGTCCAGGAAGAGGACCAGGACCGACTCCCGCACTTGAGACCATTGATGCTGACCCAGACATTTGCTAATTTTGTTTTCTGCTTTGTTCAAATATTTCGTTGCTTTTCTCATTTTTTGCTTTACTTTTCTTTTTGCTAGTAGTTTAAAGCACATTGTACTGCCTCAGACAGGTTTTACTTTCTTCAAAACTATGTACTTTTGCAAGAGACATATGATGAAATGAAATAGCTATTTTGTTCAGAAAGCGTTACATTTGTACATTCTATGCATCGCATCGCATCGCATTTCATATCAATGTAAATGATATTGAACCTTGTTTTGAAAACCAAACGCTCAAATTGCATCAATCAGGTAGTGAACCAACTAACGACAAAACAACTCGATAAGCAAAATAAAGAACTCGACAAGCTAACCAAGTGTAATTACAACTCGATAAGCGAAACAAAGACTTAAAGGATGCAAAATACAACTCGATAAGCAAAAGTACAACAACCCGATAAACAAATTGTAGTAACACAGGCGCGACTTCACAAAATCATCACTGAAAAGCATTGGAAGTGGAACCAATCACAAGTTCTCAGCATATTCAACACATAGACAGCTCAGAGAACAAGAGAAAGGGCCATCGGCCAAAGGGAGAGGCCATTGGCCACAAGAAATGGCCATCGGCCAACATTATTAGCCGATTGGACAAAAAGGATGGTCGGTCGGCACTATTTTTGGTCGATCGGCCAAAAATGGCAAAAGCCTCCAGAATGTTGACACCTGTCTTCCACTCACCACCTTATCTTCTACAAAAGCCTCAGCTTCGTAGTGTTCCTTATTTCAGCCTGATTTGTACCAAATGGAAGAGTTTCTTATTCAAAATCTCACAAATTGGATTGCCAACTTGGGTGGCTCGAAAAAGCTAAATTTTCGGGGCTTCGGCATAAATGCACTATTCACTTTGAGTCACACCCCGTTGCATTTTTCGTTCCTCTATGCCGCGACAAGGTTTTGGAATCCGGTGACACACGTCTTTAGCTTTGGCAGACAAGAGATTTGTCCCACTTTCGAGGATTTCCAAGCTTTAATGGAATCCGAGCATGATGAGGAAATTTTGCCTCAGCTCCGGTTCGGCCACATTCAAGCCTTAGGACGTATGTGCGGCCTCACTTTGCATGGCACGCAATCATTGATTCACGATGAAGAGCTGGACATTCTGAGCTTGATTCCTCGGTTTTCTGATGCCGGTGACCGCGGCGATCATCATTGGCAGGGTTATCGGCGACATGCACTTTGCTTATGCATGCTGCCTCATTTCCTACTTGCCCCAAGCTTCGGAGGATTTAGCACTCATTTGATTGAAGTCGCCGAGGGCTTGAAAGAGGGCAAAAGCTGCATCGCCATGACGCTAGCCGAGACGTTGATGGGTTTAGACGCTTTTCATCGTCGGGAGACAACTAGGTTCACAGAGAGTCCACTACTATTGTAGGTAATGTTTCCCACCCTTTCTCACATATATTGCTCACATCACTCGGCCCTTAGGCTCTGTTTTTTTCTCTCAAAACCTTTTCCTCACTTTTCTCTCAACATACACGTCTCTATTCTTTAATCTCTCATTTTTATCCCTCTCCAGGTATGGTTGATGGATAAATTGAGAGTGGTGGACTCATGCCCGGCATACTCAGCTCGCAGCTATTTCTTCCAATGACGTCTAGTCAATGTCCCTGATGAGGGATGGTGGTACAACTTGATGTGTAGTTTGTCCGCAGACCACATCGCTTGGCGCTACCGTTGGCTCAATCTGTCGGCGATGAGCTATAGCATAACCCGCCAGCCCGGGATTCAGTTGATTGGCCTGACACACTGTGTCTTTTACTTCCCGTTTCGGTTCTGGCGCCAGTTCGGACATGATCAGACTTGCCCGGCGGAGGAGATAGAGTACCCTGCTACATTTCTGGTCCGAGGTGCACAGCTAGCTCGGTATACTGCAGCATGGAGGATGAGAGAGCTTCTGGCCCCCGCTCCCACTTTCAGCTGCACCCTCTCTGATGAGTGCATAGATTGGCTCAATAAAGAGGCACAGGCAGGGCCCACTTTGACATGAGAGGCTTCTACCAGCTCAGGAAGGGGACACAGAAACACCTGACTATGCCCCAAATTTATTTTCTTTAATCAGAACTTTTAAGTTTTCTTTATGAATGTAATGAAAAACAACTTCAATTTGTTCAAGAGTAGGAGAACTCTGTGTTGAAATCAATAAAATTGAAAGTTGTGGGTACTGAAAATTTTTCGTTCGGTCCAAAAATAGTCTAAGTTGTAAAAAGATTAATTTGAACAAAATCAACTTTTATTAAAACTTTTCAAAACCATTTTCGATATGGATCAGAACTGGACACACCTGAGATCTATCACTGAGATATACAACCCCGGATCCCAGCAACTGGAAAGTTGCCCCTAGTCTAAATAGCACTGTACTAGAGATCACAACCAAGCTCCTAAATGCAAAATAGACAAAGATGACCAAACATGATCACATGGACAAAGTTGATCGGGGAAGTGTTTATGGCTGGACTTCGGGATGAAGTTGCCTACGTATCCCAAAGATGGGAATCAAGCCTTACGTAGTTCGGCTCAGGTTCACTTGTGTATTAACCTTCACCTTTTACGCTCAAACTTTTACCAAGGCCGCCCTTTTCTGGGTTTTCAACCTTGCGAGCTCAGTTTTTATAATTTTCGAATTTTCTGTGCTCTAACTTTTGCCTAGGTCGCCCTTTCGGGTTTTCGGCCTAGCGAGCCACTCAGGGAAAATATTTCTTCAACTTGTCCATGTTGATCGGTTGGGAGAACTCCAGGCCATGTAGGTCCATCAGAACGACAGTTCCACCCGACCAGATAGACTTGATGATGTAAGGACCAGTCCAATTAGGTCTGAACTAGCCCCAAGGGTCGTGGATGGGAGCTCGGTTGTCTTTGAGCACAAAATCCCCTTCCTTCAAATTCCTGGACTTAACCTTCTTGTTGAAAGCCTTGGCAATTCATCGTTGATAACCCTGAATATGGTACAGTGCTTTCAGCCTTCTTTCATCAAAGAGCATGAGTTCTTCGAACCTGCTTTGCTGCCAATCTTCCTCGGCTATCTGACACTCAGCCAGTACTCCTAATGACGGAACCTCAACTTCAACAGGCAGAACAGCCTCCATCCATAAACCAAGGAATACGGAGTTGCCCCAATAGAAGTTCGAATTGAAGTCTGGTAGCCCCACAGAGCAAATGGCAGCTTATCTGGCCAGTCCCGGTAGATTTCCACCATCTTCTGCAAAATACGCTTGATGTTCTTGTTGGCGGCCTCAACAGCTCTGTTGGTTTGCGGCCGATATGTAGATGACTTATGAAAAACCACATTGTATATCTCCAACAAGTCGATCACTTCCTTCTTGAAGTAGGAACCATTATCTGAAATAATCTCGCTCGGGACCCCGTAGCGGCAGATGATGTTGTTCCTAATGAACTTGGCAACATTTGATGTCTTCAACACCGCATAAGATTAGGCCTCGACCCACTTTGTAAAGTAGTCTATCGCGACCAAAATGAACTCATGCCCATTGGACCCCTTCGGAGTGACAGCCCCGATCACATCAATCCCCAAGACTCAAAACGGCCATGGCGAAGTCATGTTGTACAGCTTCAACGGTGGAATGTTCATGCGATTCGCATGGATCTGGCATTTGTGGCATCGCCGGACAAAGCCAATACAATCCTCCTCCATGGTGGACCAGTAATAACCCTATCTAAGGATCTTCCGGGCTAGCATTACCCCATTCATGTGCGCTCAGCACTCTCCTCCATGGATGGCCTCCATCAGGCGCTTCGATTCTTTGGCATCAACACACAGCTCATGTATCCCGAGATGGTTTCTCTTGTACAGTTTACCCCTGCAGATGATGAACTGAGCAGCCATTCTTCGAATTGCCCTTTTATCTTTGGCATTTGCCCCTGGTGGATACGCTTCCTTTTCCAAGAAGTTCCAGACATCGTAATACTAGGGGTTCTCATCTTGAACTTCATCTATGGCAACAATCAGCTCATAGGCTGGCACAAATTTTTGGTCGATGATGATCAGACGCATTCGGACTCCAAAAGGGATGTCTATCATAGAAGATAGAGTTGCTAGTGAATCTGCGAACCTGTTGTTCTCTCTTAACAGATGAGCGAAATTCATCTTCTCAAATCGAGGAATCAGTAAGTCTAAGGTCCAGTGGTAAATTCTCATCTTTTCTTCTTTGACTTTCCAAACTCCTTTAGCTTGAGATACAACAAAGTTCGAGTCCCCGCTGACGTCCAACCGTTTTGCCCCTAGTTTTAGAGCGGCTTCTAAACTAGCAATACATGCCTCATACTCTACTTCGTTGTTCGAGAGTTTGAACCGGAGTTTGAATGCTAAAGGTATACAAAAATTGTCGGGTGCTATCAATAACACCCCTATCCCATACCCGTATTGGTTTGACGCTCTGTCAAAATACATCGTCCAAGTTTCATCTTCGATATGCAGAATGACCTCATCTGGGAATAGGTACTCAACTGCTTCATCCCCTTCAACTGGGTGATCGGCTAGGAACTTTGCTACCGCTCTCCCTTTTACTGACTTGCGCGTCACATACTTCAAATCAAATTCGGAAAGCAGAAGCAACCAACGGGCTAGCCTACCTGTAAGTACTGGTTTCTCGAAGAGATATTTGATGGGATCTAATCTCGAAACCAGTATTATGGAGTGAGCCAACAGGTAGTGCCACAACTTCCTGGTAGCCCATATCAAGGCCAGACAAGCCTTCTCCAGCGAAGTGTAGCGGGTCTCATAATCCAGCATCTTCTTGCTCAGGTAGTAGATAGCTCTCTCCACCTTGTCCTCAGACTCCTATGCAAGCATGCAGCCCATTGTAATTTTAGTCACTGAAAGGTACAAAATCAACGGTTTTCCCAGCTCAGGTGGTGACAACACAGGTGGGTTCTGTAAATAATGTTTGATCTGTTCAAAAGCAGCTTGGCATCGGCCTTCCCATTGGAATTTCTTTCCTTTCTTCAAGAG